TTCACCACTGGAAATTGGAAATGAGATGAATGCTGGAGGTATTGAAAGTCAATACAGGAACCTAAATATTTCACACATTGTCAAACGAGAACTCAGAAAAATGGTGAATAAGAAAGAAGCTGGTTCTGGAAGCAATGTAAACTTTGCTCACATAGACGATTTTGCAGGTTCTACTCTCAAACTTGATTTTAATTTTGCTCTAAGTGCTTCCAGCCATATAAGATCTGATTCGTGGATTGTAGATACTGGAGCCTCTAACCATATGTGCAATGATATTTCATCACTAAAAACCCGTGTACTTACTGATAAAATCATTCCAGTGTTCTTACCTGATGGTACTATGAACGTTGTTAAGCATTTTGGTGATGTTCACTTACATGAAAACCTCATTCTCACAGACACTCTTCATGTGCCCACTTTCAAATTTAATCTCTTATCCGTAAGTAGACTCACAAAAGCCTTAAACCTGAAGTTCATTTTCATGAAGGATCATTGTTTTTTGCAGGACCTTTTGACTGAGAAGGTTATGGTTGTAGGGAGGTTGATAAAGAATTTATACATACTTGATCAGATTTCCTTTTATAGTTCTACCATAGATTCCTTTTTCTCCAATAATTGTAATGTTTTTCTTTCAAATGATTCCTCTCTTGTTGACAGTAAAACTAAAGATGATTCTGTCATTCTTTGGCATAGGAGGTTGGGTCATGTCTCTGGCAATGTTATGCAACATCTAAAAATAATAAATTCCTTTGATAAAGAAGTTTTTACACCTTGTGATATTTGCTCTTTCTCCAAAAGCATCGATTAACCTTTCCTAATTGTGGCATAAAAACATCAGACTTGTTTGAAATTCTACATGTGGATTTATGGGGGCGATATAAACATAAGACTATTTGTGGAGCACACTATTTCTTGACTGTGGTTGATGATTTTAGTAGGTGTACTTGGACATTTTTAATAAAGCACAAAACACAGGTTTTCAGTACTTTAAAGAATTTGCACAAAATTATCAAAATTCAATTTGAAAGAAACATAAAATGTTTGAGAACCGATAATGGAACTGAGTTTACTAATTTTGAGTTGGAAAAATTTTTGGCTGAAAATGGGATTTATCATCAAAAGAGTTGTCCTTACACGTCTCAACAAAACAGAGTTGTTAAGAGGAAACATAAACACCTCTTGCAAATCGCTAGGGCACTTATGTTTCAATCTAACTTACCAAATTTTTTTTGGGGAGACTCGATTTTGATGGCAACTCATATTATAAATAAACTGCCTACTGCCTTGTTAAACTGGAAGACTCCATATGAGATCCTACACAGTAAACCTCCCACTTATCAAAACCTCAAGGTATTTGGTAGTTTATGTTATGCTACTAACACTAAACCAATCAAAGAAAAATTTGCACCAAGAAGTTTTAAATGTGTCATGCTTGGTTACAGTTCTGGGCAAAAGGGTTTTAAACTCTTTGATCTCATTAATAAACAAGTTTTTGTGTCTATGGATGTCATTTTCCATGAACACGTCTTTCCCTACGCTAATGTTCATGATTCCAGTTCATCTATACCTATCCCTGTGTTTGATATGTCTTCTGAAGATATTCCATCTATTCCCAGTTATTCTGACAATCACAATGATGCTCAAACTCCTTCTATTGGTTCACATGTTATTCAACAACTTATAGCTACTTCAGATCTCAGTCAAGAAAAGGTCACTCAACATGATGATTCTTTACATTCCACTTCAAACCAATTGATTCCTCACCAGATCCCTTCTCAAACTAGAAAGAGTACCAGACCTAAATCTGCTCCAACATGGACGCAAGACTTTGTGAGCAACCTGTCATCATCGATTCCTATTTCTGATCACTTTCCCAACACATCGAAATTTTCTTCACATACACCAAATACCTATCCTTTTCATCAGTCTCCCAATTTTGATCCTAGTTATTGTCCTTTTCTGGCTAATATTTCTACAATCCAAGAACCAAAATCTTATAAGGAGGCTAGCAAAGGATGAATGGATTCAAGCGATGAAGAGTGAACTTGCTGCACTAGAAAAAAATCAGACCTGGGAGATTGTTCATTTACCTCAAGGAAAGGTACCAATCGGATCGAAGTGGGTATATAAAGCAAAATTGAAACCAGATGGGACCCTGGATAGGTGTAAAGCCAGGCTCGTGGTAAAAGGATACAATCAGGTAGCTGGTGTTGACTATATTGACAGTTTTTCACCTGTTGCGAAATCTGTGACTATCAGAATGTTTTTTGCAGTTGTGTCTGCACGGCGTTGGCCCATATACCAAATAGACATTAATAATGCGTTCTTGCATGGATTCGTTGATGAAGAAATCTATTTATGGCCTCCAGAGGGATATAAATCACTTAAGGAAGGAGAAGTGTGTAAACTCAAGAGGTCACTCTATGGTTTAAAGCAGGTAAGTCGACAGTGGAATTCGAAATTCTGCAAACACTTACAAACTTTTGGTTTCAGACAATCAGCACATGATAATTGTTTGTTCCTCCTCCACTCAGATCGTGCCACCACAATCCTTCTTGTTTATGTGGATGGTGTGCTTCTCACAGGAACAGATAGTTCAGAAATACAGAGGGTCAAGGCTTTTCTTGACAATACTTTTACCATAAAGGATTTGGGTTTTGCCAAATATTTTTTAGGGGTTGAAATAGCACGTTGCTTAAAAGGTTTATATCTCAACCAACGGAAGTATGCCATGGATATTATTTCTGATACTGGCTTGCTGGGTTCTAAACCAGT